ATAAGTATGTAATATCACTCATTACTGCATGTAATGATTTGAAGTGAACTCTTCCACAAATGTTTTAGTTCTAGGTCAGTCTTTAGTATGTCAAGTTCTTGTCTACTACATACTGGTTCCACCTATTGAAACAGTGGTAAAGTGACAAACTGAAGTAGATGTTTGTTTTGATACACAGATGGTCAGGGATTTGTTCATTGTGCAGTTACATCTGCTGGTCAGCAGCCTATGAACAGGCCTGAGATGAAGGGTTTCTTCAAGCTTTCTAACTACAAAAGTCTCTTCTGAGAAATCATACATTGACACTTGGGAACACATTAGTGATAATCGTCTGTCAAGCAAAAAAATATTTTCGTTCTGCAACAGAGAATAAGACTTTTTTTTTCCCTCACCTGAAGTGCTATACCTTCTCTAGATCTGTGAGACCTGGTAGCAGATTCTCCTAGCAAGCAGCAAACATGAAGAATGATGAAAATCAGACCGTTGGACAGCCACAGAAAAGCAGAGAATTCAGAAGTCTCTCCACGCTGTCATGTAGAACTTTTACCACAAAAGAGATCTAGTAAGTACCTTTGCATTTTCTGTGGAATTCTAGCCTTCAATCCTGATTCAGTTACCGTTTTCCTAAGGACACGTTTCAGCATTAAATGACAGCCTTGCCCGTAAAATGAATATATACTTTTGAATCAGCTCCAACAAAGCTTCACAAGTCAAATGAGAAGTTACTTTTCACAAACAAAAAATCTGAAAAAGCAAAGGCTAGTCCATTTTTCTCATTGCACAAGGTTTTGCAATACAATTCGTGATCTAAATACATTTGCCCCCTCCTCAAGTAGTAAGTAACAAAGCAGAAATACGTATCACAAGAAGTTCTTTAAATCTATCAAAAGCAGAAATATCTCGGAGATTAAATCTTTTTGATACTCCAAGGCACAAAAATAGTCAACGTGATGGCAAATTTAGTTTTGACGGATGGAGAATACAAAAAGTCAAAAAAATTACACATTGCACGTTTCTTGCAGGTCAGTATTTCACATAAGCCTGTAACATGGAATTTTTTTTTTAAGATTAGATTAAGATACTAGTGGTATTCTTAATAATGCAATCCTTTTATGCAGACGAACTAATAATCAGTTGTTTTAACATCAACTCACTGAACTGAGACTTTCCCTAACTTGCCTATAATACCAAGTATCCTTAACAAGTACCCTTATTACTGCCCTTCAGCAAGATGGCCTCAGAGAACATACACAACTCATTTTCCCTTAGCCCAAACACTGGATAGGCTAAGAAACCCCTGTGGGGAATTTCCACAATCACTTGCTTATAAACTGTGTCACTTCCAGATTCTGCATCTGATGCATTTCTGAGCATAAACACTATCCCCTCCCCCCCCAAAAACATATAATCTGAGTTTCTCTTTTTGTTCAAATCTGAGGAAGTCATTAATGAAGAACCACATATTTTTCAACTTTTGATTTCTAGAATGTAATCTAGATTTAGGATATACATCATATATGAATGTTATTTTCTAAAGCTGAAAATTGGATTTGCTATTCAGTTGATATTCAGTTACCTGCCATCACTTTAATCAACGCTGGTACCACCAACAAAAATAACTTTAATAGACAGGAAAATATAATTGGTTTAGAAATGTGTATTATAAAGGCAGAAGAAGAATATTATAAATTAACATCCTCATGCAATTCACACTCAATATTAAGCGGTAGGTTTTGTTGTTTTTAATCCGTAATCACGAGTGACTATATACCTTATTAAGTCCAGAAATATAATGTAAAAAATCAAGAGTGTCATGCAAGTAATGCTAGCAATGGTATCTTAACCGACAAGCGTGTCTCCTCCCATCCCATCCCCTCAGCAGACACATGCAGGAATCACAATGTGGGAACTCTGCCTGTGGTGCTGAGATTGTTATTGGCCATGACAGGAGGGCTCATCCTGAAGGCATATTGGGAATACAATGGTGTTACTTCTCAGCTATACAAGAAGGTAGCAGGTGGTGAGAAAGGAGAAATTTCAAAGTTAATATATTTACAGGCAATCACTCACCTACTTATAATTGCTTGGAGGCTCCCTCAGAATTAAAAATTGGGAATCAAGTTTGTTATGACGAAGTCATAAACAAGTAAGCCTGATGGCACCACTATATTTTTCCAGAGCAAATAAATTGTTTCTTGAGCTGTGAGTCTAGTACCTTTCATATTTATTCAATTCATGTTTTAAGAACTGCTCACAAAAAAGGGGGGAAATTGCTAAAGGCATAGGTTGACTTAGTTCAGCATAGCAATACAGCACAGGAACCTATCTTTAAAAAAGCAAAACAGAAAACACAGAACTCTTCAGCTAAGCAGACAGTGATTACATTGATGTGATATACTCAATTACTTAACTGCCAGGGGGCCTAATGTTGCTCACGCAGCAAGAAGCAAAATTACACACGTTAATAAAATGCTTGGAATATTCAATATACCTCTTGATACACCTCTTGATATCTCATGACCTACGATGTTTTTTTCCAGAAGTTTATTTAACAGCAGCACAAGATCTGTTTGAACAGCCAGAAGACAAATTCAGGGAAATAATAAAATCAGGGTTTTTTTGCCAAAGAGCTGCAATGACAGAGAAGCAAAATTACACACGTTAATAAAACGCTTGGAATATTCAATATACCTCTTGATACACCTCTTGATATCTCATGACCTACGATGTTTTTTTCCAGAAGTTTATTTAACAGCAGCACAAGATCTGTTTGAACAGCCAGAAGACAAATTCAGGGAAATAATAAAATCAGGGTTTTTTTGCCAAAGAGCTGCAATGACAATTCACAGTTAAAAAAAGATATGACAAACATAAGGTCAGAGCTAAACAGCCAGATATCGTCATTATGCTTTTAGCTCAGCAAAAACTTTTGTCACATAATTTAAGATGCCCAAAACGTGCTACAGTATTTGCAAGTTATGTACTGGCAAGCCATTATATAAGTTAGATGTAAAATATGGCCAGACCTTAAACAAAAAATCCCAGGGTACTTTTGATAAGTTGACAGCAGTTGTACTTTAATGTATATATATCTGAACCTTATTGAGAACTGTAGTGGTTTTACTTCAATCCTAGAAATAACTTTCTGTTGCTGATTTTATTGACTTTAAGGCAGAATATTCTGGATTTACAGTGACACTGTAGATCCTACTGCATAAGGGTTTGTGATACGGAAAAGAAATTGTTTACATCCAGATTTGTTAGAGGCTGGTTTTTTAAATATTTGTTTCAAGTACCACAGAACCGAATTTCAGAGAGTCACTGACTTAGAACAGAAAGTGAAACAGCAAAAATTTGTGACCCAACCCCCCCATCTCCCATTTTGGCCTCAGTCTAAATCTATAACCTTATTCATGGGTATATTGTAATGCGAAACAGTGATAACTCCTACAAAAATGCCAACAAGTAAATGACCGTAGCCTCTGAGGCAGTTCTGATCCTCCATCAACCTCTATGCCATACTGATACTCTGTAAAAGATGTCCGCGATTCACCAGCAGAATACCATTTACCCACTTATCAAAAAAATTCTACAGATTAAGTCAAAAAAAGACTACAAATCTTTTGTTTACAAGCATATTTTGAAAGACATCTAAAATTTGTATTTCACAGCATTAATTCGCAAATCAGTGCTACATTAAATCAGGATTGTTACGAGATGGTACTTGCATAGACCCACATCAACTACTTAAGCAATTTTTTTCACAGCAGCAAGCAATATGGCTATTTTTTCCAGAGACTGCCCTTAAACATTTTCACACGATCTTTCATGATGAAAATCCAATCCTGATGGTAGTGACTGGGCTCTACTACATCCTAAAAGATAAAGGCAAGATCACTGCAGACAGCTTTTACTCAAATATGTTGAGATTCAAAATAAAACAACAACAAAAAAACCCCAAAATGCAATTAGTAATAATTAGAAGCAAACACAAAATATGGATCCTTCCAAAATATGCACCTGCCTCAGGATACAGAAAAGGTCTTTTTAATAATAGATTGTCTATATACAATGCTTCATTTTTAATGCTTTAGTTATGGAATATTTATACACAGAAGTGACCTACTATGTTGCTGAATACAGTTTTATGCTACTACAAGGAAAAAGAGCTATTATATCATGGAACCTGTTTTTATTTTAATCTTATGCTTCCATTATGAAATAACTAACACACTTTTACCTATCCCTATTCTGCATCACACATAGGGATGCATTACATGTGTCAGGAAAAAAAAAAAAAATCTAATAACCCACAAATCATTAGCAGGCTTGCTACTGGATATAGAAATTGGATTTTAAAATCAGTCCTTCACAAATTCTACACCCTATATCACAGAAGAATTAGTACATCATTATTTAACCCTCTGCACAAATGCAGCCCACAATGAAGAGCAACAGAATGAGTATTTGATAGACCAGGAGTAGAGGATTGTCAGAGATAGATAAGGTACCACAATGGGCAGTCTCATATTCAAAACAATAAGCCAGCTATTCATAACCCATGAGGAAAGAAAAGCCCCAAAACAAAAAAAACCCCATGGAATTAATTCACTCAAACAACAATTTCGGAAAGCCACTACTACTTGTGAACAAAAGATGCTAGACATCTCATTAATATTTTGTTCTAGCACATTACTCAAAATGATCCATTTTCAGCAGCTACTCCAGCAGCAAATAAATCCAGAAGTACATCACAGGTGAGCCAAAAATATAATAGAACCTCCGTGGAAAATGTAGTTTTGTTTTCTAGGAACTGCATAGAAAAACGTCTCCAAGTTTACTTCACCTAAAAGCCTGGGTAAACCACCCAGGCTCACACTCATGATATCTAAGCCTTTACCAACACGGTGAATACATTAAGCTCTGACAAGCACTCTGCTAGATGCGCACACAACCCTCTCACCCGCACTTGTAAAAGCCTGCTGAGAAGAAGGACCTACTGGAATACCCCAGGTAGTAAATCTTCACTGCAAGGGATTTGACACCCTTGAAAGTATAAACCAACCACAGCATGGAGCTCTTATTCGCCAGAGCGCGAACTAAATAGCTCCCCTCATCTTCCAGGCACCGTGTGCATGCACACGAATTGCAAGTCCTCATCCTTATGACACGTATAGACAGACACACAGAACACAACGCCTAAAATACCCCAGGTAGTAAATCTTCACTGCAAGGGATTTGACACCCTTGAAAGTATAAACCAACCACAGCATGGAGCTCTTATTCGCCAGAGCGCGAACTAAATAGCTCCCCTCATCTTCCAGGCACCGTGTGCATGCACACGAATTGCAAGTCCTCATCCTTATGACACGTATAGACAGACACACAGAACACAACGCCTAATTCCCTGTGAATGCCCGCCCCTCCTTGCACGCACACAGAAAGCACACGCTTTCCCTCACTGCACAAGCACACGCAGACGAGAACCTCTCTCCTCACCGCACGCAGGCAGCCCCGCTCCCCCCGCAGCAGGGGCGCAGGCACACAGAGAGCGCCGGCGCCCCTCCCCATCGCAGACACACACACGGAGCACAATAACCCTCCCACTGCACACACGCACTCAGCACAACACCCCGCTGTGTGCACACACGGACGGGGTTTAGCGGGAGCCCCTCGTCCCGCAGAGCCCTGCCTTTGCACAGAGACAGCGGCAGCACTCTGCGCAGGCGCATGTTGCTGGGGTACCCTCGCCCCTTGCACTCCTCAGGCACACCGCAGGCGCACCCCTGCCTTTGCACGCACACAGTAGAAACACGGTCTTCCCGGTGCACAGCCCGCCACCACATACCCACAGAGCAGGAACGCTCTCCCCGTAAGCACACACAGCAGAAGCAACCCCCCATGCACGCAGAGGGGGAGAACCCCACTACTGCACACCCCAGATCCTCCAGCCCGCCCGTCCCACTGCATGCAGGGGGAGCCCCCTCATTGTCGTCGTCCCCCCAAACGTGGAGCCTCCCCATTATCCCCCATTGCCCTCACTCAGCGAGGGCCCCTACTCTTCCCCACTGCCATCACAGCAGCCCACACACACACTCCAAGACTCCCACTGCCACCACAGCGGGGACTCCTTAGTGCTTCTCC